GCTAACTTTATTATTGCCTTTTCTGTCCGACTAGTTGGGTGATACTAAAACAATTAGACCCTTCGCCCTTAAGGGCCACGGGTCTATAGCCCATTCGGCATCGCCTCACGGGCTATTAACCTGTAGCCCTTGCGGGCTACGGGTCTAATTGTTAAATAACCCCCGTAGTAAAGAAAAAAGCATCTAGTTGGCAATTTGTTTTGTGATGCGTCTGAGGCATCTGAAGCAACTGACGGGAAAAGCTATGTGATATTCTAATTTATCTGTTTATGTCGTGGGACTGGGCATTCCGTAATACTCCACAAATAATCCCGGGTGTGTTTTTTGTTGAGAAGCCCTTTGAGGAGCTTTTTATGTCGAGCGAAACGGAAGTTGGGCCTTGGTTTCGGGAAGGATTTAAGGTTTCTGGTCTCGTATTTGGAAGGGAGGATAACCTGTAAAGTCCTGATAACCTCATTCTCTTTTTGTATTTTCATTGTTGCAGTGATATCATCAAGATAGACAGTTATTGTAGAAGAAGATACATTGAGCTTGTGCCTCATATTGAAAGCTTGTCTGACTTCAGTCAATGGTAAGTATAGAACTGTTACCTAGTTGAACTGTAGATCGAGTAAGGAAGGGCTATACAATTTTTATAGTATGAGGAGTGCCACTAAGGACATTGCTTCAACTGATTCATTCATCTGTGTGACTTGGTATAGAACTTGTCCGCTTCGACTAACACTTCAGCGCTAGGGTGATATAGCATCGTATCGGTCTTGCGCAAGGCTTGTGTGCGAATCCCGTTGAAGCGTGGAATTTGTAGCGTTACATCTGTCATTTCTACCATGTTACACACAGGTTTATAAGTGCGTTGCATGGCCAAACAGTAGAAGTTTACTAGTAAACGGCTGTATCATTGATGGAATGTGTTTGGGATTTTCCTAAGTTTATGAATTACAAGCATCGATATTTACTGCAAGTATTTATTATCCTTCTCAGGTTGAAGTTTAAGTCGTATAAACACTTAGCTGAAGAAGAAGTTGAATTTGATCCACGTCAGGAAAGGTAAGCCTCGTCTTAAATGGACAACTTTAAAATGTGTAGCACTCGTATTTCGCTCCAATGCAAGTGTACAAGGGGCTCTCACATGAAATTGTTATATCTTGCGAGCGTTATCATTGCATTTTGTGACATGCGTGATGAATCAAGCAAACGCAATCAAGAGCAACTTCGTTCTTAAAGTCTCTCTTGTCCCCACATCCCTGAGCTGCAGGAGGGAGGTCTTCAGTTCAAGCGAAAAGTGCGAGGAGTGCCTTAGACTTTCTCAGAGTCCGCTTCCTCGCTTGTCGCTCATTTTATAGAAGTAGAAGTCGACTTGTGGCAAGTCTAGATGTGCCTTAACATTAGCTAGTAACCACCCTGTAAAAAATAAAGGTGGACGTAATTCGAGTACAGAAACCAATTTCTCCTTAAATCTCAACTAAATGTATCCATTACGTTGTTTAACAGAGTTTCATCCTGTCTCTGCCCAACAAACGAAGAAAGCATCAATCTGGTTCTAGGCCTTCATGCACAAGCGTTTCCCTGTTTTTCATCCGCAAGGTAAATAACTTTGGACGTTTTTCTTACGAACGTCTTGAATTTTAAACCAATCACGTCGGCTGTAAGTGCTATGCAGGAATTAAAATTAGCCAGTCAGAACTGGTAGTCTATATAGTTATTGGTGAAAAGGGCGGGAAAAGTGGCCCCAGGCCAAATCATTGTTGCTCTGTTTTGCATCTGATTGGCTGGGTATATTTTATATTTTCTTTTTTTGTACTCAATCTCTCGCCATTCTTAAACATTGTTGACTAAGGCCTTAGCTCTCTTTCTTTTATAACAGTTTCTAACAAGTTATTTTGTAATTCTGCACACTTCATTTCGTTCAGGTTTGTTCACGCTGGCTTGGACATGGCGCCAGAATTTGGAAAAGGGAAATCACACGTCTTAACACAAGTAATATTCTCGCTGATTCTAATTTGTCTTTCCCGAGTTCGGTACACGAAATTTTCTTTTTCTTTTTTTGTCCTGTCCAATTCGGCCAGTAATTTAAGCTTCTGGTTATTCTTTTGTAGGCGAAGGGGGCGGACGAGGTTTTCATGAGCCATCTACGTTCCGTGCACCGATCATGTTCGAGACACGGACGCACGCTTCAGTTCTGGGCTAACGCTCTTCATGATGACCCTGAACAGTTGTGGAATCTCCCCCCTGGAGTCATAGCCATGGAATATGGCAATACGGTATTCCTTCTCTTTCGCTGTGATAGCCATAGTTTACGGTGTTTTCAATCTCTTTTTTGTTACTGAAAAGAGAAGCGACAGGTCGACGAGACACTGTTGGCCTATAAATTTGCTGTCAGTCATGGTTGCTAGATAACAGAACATTGTCAATAGACAAACATCAATAACCGCGCTCAGATTTTAGTTTAGTGGACTGCTGTCGTAATTTTGATTCGTTCTGTCAGTTTGAAAAACCATAGTTAATAGAGGGAAATGGTTATGAAACCTGGCACTTGAAGTTCTTTGTTGTATGTTTTTGTTTACTTTTTTGGGGGTTGACCCTGCACAAAACCTGACAAAATACAAAAGGTGGTTATGTGTACTCGTATCACTAATCAATAGAAGCATTGCGATTATGTAATTGATGCATAGTCTATGAGCATAAAACAAAAGATGTGCAGGGTCAAGGACCTTCCAACATAAATCTTAGCCTGTTTGTTAACTTTGCTTCTTTGATGTTTAACAGGCTTCTTAACCATTTCTTCCCATTAANCAAAATAGGGGATTCAAAGTAATGCAGATCAACCCGGCGGCCAACAGGGCCTTCTTCAGAGCTCAAAATAATTAACATATCTCTTGACTGGGGAAAGTTTTTTGGACCCAGTTATTGACGAGATATGTCTGTTTACTAAGACCTATTTTAGTCCTTTTACGAGATTGTACTAAGTAACACCTTTTGTCCTCTTTTAGTCGTCTGTGAAGACATCCCTCCCCGACGTTTTAAGTCAACACGTGTTTATGGATACTTCCGGGACATTTGGTCAAGCTCTGATGGACCTGGGTACAACACACTCGATTTTACTCAGTGATGACGCCATAGAGTCACTTGTCACCGCTGACAACAGAAGAGTTCACCCGGTCGCGCATTCTCCGGGCAGCAAGCTGCTGTGGCGAATTTTAGAGACTGAAGGCTCATGCAGTATTGACAAAGTTACTTCGGATAGTTTGCAGGTACAAAGACAGGTTATCTAATTATGTTTTTGAGATCATATAGAGTGGTACTCCAGCCAGTAGACCATATTTGTATTTTCGGTATCGGACTGGAACTAGCTTGCAAGTGAGGCTAATGCGGGGAGTCTTTTCACATGCAAATGACATTAATCTCTTTTTTATGATATTCCCTCGCATGAGCCTCCATTGCAAGCTAGTTCCAGTCCAATACCGAGAATACGAGTATGGTCTATTAAATGTTCCTCGCACGTAATTATGGCGCCTTGCTTCATCAACTGTTTTTTTTTTTTAAATAACTGTCTAATTTCACGCGCGCTGGTTGGCTCATTTTTATCATCAATAAAGAGTACAGACAGATAAAATTTTAATTTATGCAAGCTTTCAAGTTCAATTTTCAGCTATCTAACTGTCAACTTTTTAACCAGTGAGATGTTCTAGAGTATTTTAAGTAGCCAATCAAAAATCGAGAAAAGCTATTGACAATGTTCGCGTCATTTTGAAGAAATTTCATTCATCTTGGCTTACGGCAAGTTTACGGCGTCTTTTCCCCTCATTTATTCCCGCCATTTGACCATTTTGGGGTCTTGTTATTGTAAGAAACAAATTGACGACAGGTTTTTTATGCGTCTGTCCTCTTATTGATGATAAATTTTGTCGTAACATTGTCAACGTTTACTGCGGAACCACAGCCACTTTGATAATGTTATGACGCAATTTATCATCAATAAGAGGACAGACGCATAAAAAACTGACGTCAAGTTGTTAAGTTGATAATTTAGGACGATTTCCAGACGCTCCTACATATTGCTATGTCAAGATGAAAGAGACACAAAAATTATGGTTTAGTTTTTCAGAAAATCGTTCAACAAATGATAACCATTAGTAAATCAGTTCGGCTATTAATGATCAGGATGCAAATGAACGACATGTTTGCTCTGGAAACTTGTGCGAGAAACCGAACCCAGTTTGGACTTAATTTCTTTTAAATCTTGTCACAGGTCGCTTTCCTGGATTCTATGATAGCATAGAATCCTAAAGCGTTAATTTTCTTATAGCAGGCGTTTTTCTAGAAGCTGCAAAACTGTACATGATTCTTCTACTACGTGTGACTGTTGTAATTTTTTACTCTTTTTCTCATTCATTAGAGGGCTGTGCGACAAATACGACAGTGCNCTTTTGTCCTCTTTTAGTCATCTGTGAAGACATCCCTCCCCGACGTTTTAAGTCAACACGTGTTTATGGACACTTCTGGGACATTTGGTCAAGCTCTGATGGACCTGGGTACAACACACTCGATTTTACTCACTGATGACGTCATAGAGTCACTTGTCACCGCTGACAACAGAAAAGTTCACCCAGTCGCGCATTCTCCGGGCAGCAAGCTGCTGTGGCGAATTTTAGAGACTGAAGGCTCATGCAGTATTGACAAAGTTACTTCGGATAGTTTGCAGGTACAAAGACAGGTCATCTAATCATGTTTTTGAGATCATACAGAGTGGTACTCCAGCCAGTGGACCATATTCGTATTCTCGATATTGGACTGAAACTAGCTTGCAACGGAAGCTAATGCGGGAGTCTTTTCAAATGCAAGTGGCATAAATTTCTCTCTTTTTAATGATATTCTCCCGTATGAGCCTCCATTGCAAGCTAGTTCCAGTCCAATACCGTGAATACAAATATGGCCTATTAAATGTTCCTCACACGTAATTATGGCGCCTTGCTTCATCAACTTTTTTGTTGATAATTTAGGACGATTTCCAGAAGCTCTTACATATTGCTATGTCAAGATGAAAGAGAGACAAAACTTATGGCTTGATTTTTCAGAAAATCGTTCACCAAATGATAACAACCATTAGTAAATCAGGTCAGCTATTGATGATCAGGATGCAAATGAACGACATGTTCGCCTTGGAAACTTGTGCGAGAAACCGAACCCAGTTTGGACTAAATTTCTTTTAAATCTTGTCACATGTCGCTTTCCTGGATTATATGATAGCATAGAATCCTGAGGCGTTAATTTTCTTACAGCAGGCGTTTTTCTAGAAGCTGCAAAACTGTACATGGTTCTTCTACTCCGTGTGACTGTTGTAATTTGTTTACTGTTTTTCTCATTCATTAGAGGGCTGTGCGACAAATAAGACAGTGCCACAAGACGTTTATAGCCGCTGACCTTAAATGCAAACAGAAAACTGATATTTTAAAGGAACTTGATGTATTGGTAGAAATACTACTATTCACAACCAGGTAATGGATGTCATTTTGTGTCATGTTTGCGATGTTTTCTCCTTTTGTTTTCTTCTTCAAGCTTAACTTGCTGTCTGGAAGACTTGCCCACATATCGAACTGCATAAGCGGAGCTCTGAGCGAGAAATATGTCCGCTTCGTTCAAAACCCGAGAACGAAGAGCGCAAGGAGGAGAAATAATTGCAAGCTCGAGCTTCTCGCCTGGACTACTTTCAACCACAAAGGACTAAGAAAGTGTAGTAACGACTGTTTGGGAGTCGAGACCTCAACAATGCAACATCATGTCGCGGGAAATCTGACACTTATCATGTTAACTCTACTCCAACACCTCTGAGACTCTGGTTGAGGCAGGAGGAAGCTATCAAAAACCTGCCAGACCTTTCTCTCTGTTAGTCGAACTCTGCTTGCTGGGGACTTTTTGCGTTTTATAACTTAAAGAGAATAATATTTTCCGTTGATATCTGATTA